GCACTTACCACAATTTACAAATCAAGTGTAAGACAAACTGAACATCACTTTATCTAAACAAGCTAATTATCGAACAAAAAAGTAAAAAAACCCAACTGCGTAAAAATGTATAGGCACTTAACAAACCTTCGATTTTACTGTTCATAATTTTGATGTACCCAGTGTCATTCTCACAATTCAGACGAATCTAACGACACTTCCCAAGCCAAAATTTATCAAGCCGTTTAGAATACAGCACGTCCCAAAGAAATGTATATTATACATACACTGGACACTTCAAACATTATTTACAAAATGTATTATAAAAAACCGTGTGGTGTCGTGGGACACCCGATAGGAACGAAGTTGTGACGATCGAGTAAAACTGATTCGACACGATTTTAATTACAACGCCATCTATGAAAGCGGCTATTACCTACATATTTTTCAGTTGGTTTCTAATTAAAACAATTTATACATTGGTAAAATCTCCTTGAGAAATGATGTCGAATAAAATATTTTTTGCTCAACCTAAGAACATAAATTTTAATTTTACTGAGATGAAAAGTAATGATTTCCTATCTATTCGATAGATGGCGCTGAATGACTGACAAGTGACATAAAAAGTGTCGTTACAACTTTTCGTGAGAATTTTTTCCGTCTAGCCCCCTTTCACAACGCGCAATAAGGAACTTCGTTCCAAAAGTGAAAATTGATTGTTTATATTCAGATTCAGATTGTTTATTTGCATAACACAGTTATTAATTACATAGTATTCAATTCATAACAGGTTCACTGTGCTTTACCACTATGGGTGTGCAAATTTTCAATTTGTACATTTGTAATTGCATATAGTTTATATAAACCTATAGGTATATTATTAGCATCATTGATTACTATAACAAGATTGTGATACATACAATGTCAAATATTTAAAGTCAAAATAATGTCAGAATAATCAATTAACGTCAGGAAGAAAAAACAATAATTATAAAAAATAAAAAAAACACTACAAATTGTCAGAGATAAAGTCTAATACATTGCAATAGCATTTTTTAGTGAGGAGACTTAAATGTACTTTAGAAATTTAACGGAAAAGACTAAAATAATGTGACACTCAATACATATAAATAAAAGATATCTTCTGGTTTGTTTGAAGTCGCTGCTAAGACGAATAATAGTGGAGGTTGGAAGGGATTTGAAGTCCTTCCCAAGCAAATCAACCTAAAAGAACCGAAGCGAGACGTCCGCGTCGTTGGGGCTTGTTCAAATGATATTTTTGAACGTATTTAATCTATACTAATATTATATAGCTGAAGAGTTAGTTTGTTTGAACGCGCTAATCTCAGGAACTACTGGTCCGATTTGAAAAATTATTTCAGTGTTAGATAGCCCATTTATCGAGGAAGGCTATAGGCTATATATCATCACGCTAAGACCAATAGGAGCGGAGCACCAATGAAGAATGTTTTAAAAACGGAGAAAATTTATTACTATTGAGAGACGCAGACGAAGTTGCGCGGGTCAGCTAGTTATTGATAAAATTGGACTACAGCAGGTACTAGTGACTTCGAATTGACTTTAAGAACTAAGAAAATATGTAGGTACTCGTATTACATTCACTTATTAATTCGTTATGAAGCTGATTGTAGGGGATTGCTAGACCTTAGCTATTATGTTATAGACTTGTCACCGACTTCAGACTTTTCTTAACACTATTAATCATCTTTGAAGTCGGTTTAACTTGTTTAATGTGTTTATACTTACATGATTAATCTGTGTTATGACGGATTACGAATACGGAGTGTCACCACCCCTATTCATGAAGTGAGTGTCGTAAGAGCCGACTAAGGGAGAAACCTACGTAGGACAAAAGCACTGTAAAGAGAAGAAAACTTGACAAAATCCTATAACAAAACAACAACGCGTCTGGCCAGCGTGGTACGGTGGTATAGTAGGTCAAAATCTCCTTTCTAAGGTCTAGGTCTAGCAGTGGACTATTATAGTTAAACCGCCGTAAGCTTGGCCCTCCTGATGGTTTGGGGGACGCGGGGCGGGGGTGCATTCAAGCAATTAGTTAGTGCGTCGCTGTCCGCCGGCAGTGACTGACGTGAAAGCATGGCTGTATGTGTTATTTTTCTTAAGACTGGTACACACGGTATTATTTTGCAACATGGATAATCTGCCGACTCTGCGTCACAAAAAGATTTAAAAACTTGAAGTTTGGCTTACAGAGGTTCTACTGTTAAAGTTCTAATAAAGAATATTTATTATTTTATTTAATTTTTAAATTGTATCTGAATATAATTTACATGATGAAGATAAGGTGATTTTATAAAAATTATTTTACAGTATTAAATTTTACAATTAATCATAAAAACTTACAATACACTGACAATATAATACATGGAAATAAATTGATTTTTAATACATCGTGTGTAGATTAAATCTCAAACAAATAAATCTGAAGATATCGAGTTAGTACATCGTGTCATGTATAGCCGAGCGCATCACCCGCCCCGCGTCCCGCAAACCATCAGGAGGGCCAAGCTTACGGCGGTTTAACTATAAAGGCTGTTGATGTGATGTGATACATATATTATGCAAAATAGGTTGCATATTGAAGGCTTCTTAATGAATGTATATTCTTTTTAATTGCACTAAGAAATGTACAAAATTTCCATAATCATTTTTTGTAATAAAAACCTTTAATAATGTCATATAAATATTAAATAATCGCTTTTGATCAAGTGCTAACTCACATTTGTGATTGAAATACATAAAGGGATAGCAGATGTGAGTGTATACTCATATACCTAACACTCATATCTGTTATCCCCTAAGAGGTGATCAAATCCGTATGAGGAGCCCACAACTTCCATTGCATTGCATTGCATTATATCTTCGTAAGATGGCTCAGAAGGCCAATTGTGTATATATTTTCTATTATATAACTCTCCATCCCACAAATGTCTTAAAAGGCATTTTCATAGTAAAGTATTAAACAACCAACGTTGACTGTAATGTCATTCGATGGTATTATAACCAAAAGTCGAATCGGTGATCTTTGAAACGCTAATCTTACAAACAAAACTAGAAAAGAAAATATATTGTTTACTATATTACACTTATAATATACCTACGCATAAGCCTACATTTTATTTTGCAATGTTTTGTGTATTGTGTACTTACATATATTATTTTTTTGCCAACAATTGTATGACACGTACAATTAATTTTAATGTGAAACGTCTGAATTTGTAATGTCTAAAGAAATTAACAAGCCAGATGTTTATACATTGTGCAAAAATAATATGTTCAATAAGCCTACGTGATGATCTTGTTTGCTGCGTGAACGCGGATGGTCCAGTTGCCCTGTCTTACAGATAACTGAAACTTTACTAATTTGTACTAATACTGTCTTATTTCGTGTGTCTAACTTTGAAAATGATGAACTACCATACAACTGTTCATCCCTGATTGTCTCCCCTTAGACAAGCACTGGAGCAGCTTGCCACATTAAATGTGGCACTCCTCCAATGGATCCCTCCGCAACCCCAGCTACCGGCCCAACCATACTCGTGCCAATAGCAGACTGGAAATCCGAATAGTTGGCTAGGACACCTAGCCCTGAACCGACAACTATTCATCATCAATGCGACGGGCAGCCCTCTGTGCAGGGGCAGCAGAAGAAACGGCCGCCCACGTAATCCTGGTATGCGAGGGAGTGGCCACACAACGGGCAAGGACCATTCCCGATACAAAATCGCTCCTAGAAGCCTGCGAACGCCCCAGGAGGCTTCAGCGCTTCTTCAAGGAGCTTGGTTGGCTTACCTGGCTAACCAGTCCTCGACGCATAAAGGACCACTCTTGAGTCTAAATGAGAAAACCGAAGCCCAAAACCAATACCAATACCAATCCCCCCTTAGGCAAGTATTCCGTAGTCAGTCGGAGCAAGATATTTTATATGTATAGATAGATAATATTTTCTAAAATAATGATATTTAGTTAAAAGAGTATCTAATAATTTCTACACGACCTAAAGGTTGGTTGGTGAATGAGAAGAGAGAGATAGAACCTCTGGTGGCAGAGTGATTGCTGCGGTAGGGGATAGAACGGGAGCCTGATTGCATTAAGACGCAATCGGGCCGCCACGCTGCGATTGAGGGGGGAAGTGTTTCCCCCTGGGCCTGATTAGGCATAGTGTCAATTTCGGGGAGGACCTGAAATAACATGATCCGGGTCCTCCCAGAGTAGGACACCGGAGGCCAGCCGTCGGGGTGTCGTCGGTCGGTGTTTTGTGGAATCACCACACACTCCTGACTCCTGAGTCCCCGAGGAGCAGGATATCCAAAGGGATTTTCAACCCCATCAACAAAAAAATCAAAAAAAAAATAGTTTAAAAAACTAAAAAACACGCTTTTAAAGAAAACCAAACTAAAAAATAATTAAAATTCATTTTCTTTTTTTTTATTTGGTTTTCTATAAAAAGCGTGTTTTTTAGTTTTTTTAAAACTATTTTTTTTATTTTTATTTTTTTTAAATTAGTGTATTGTCATCGGTCCTCGATATATCTACAAAGCTTGAAAGAATTCTGACCGTTTAAAGTCAGTCAAAATCACGCCCAAAGGAGTCGGTTACTAACAAACATACAAGTGAAGCTAATACATAATAAAGCGTGTAAAAAGGGGACTTCTATTTCAGTATGCCGACCTTTGGGCTAATTCTGTACATGTAACAAAATCAATTTTTAGCGTAGTTGCATCAGAGTTGGCATGCAAATTTTCTTCTTGTACCTAAACCTAAAAGCTATAAAAATACCAGGCAGTAAGAAAACTCTTGTTATTTACATTGTAGTTGGTAAATAAAGAAAAAAAATATTCAGTTTACTTGAGGGGCCTCATGTGAGCAAGCTGAATAATTATTATTGTTAAATTGCATGGGGGATTTGGAACAGACGAGGAAATGAAGGTATTTATTCTGTGCATATTTGAGATGAACATTCGCTATAGACTAACAAAATGTCGATCGTACCATCTGTGTTGACTCGTTATTTACCATGACGGGCATTTTGTTTTTGACTTATTCCTAATGCGGGAGTTGTCTTTTTATAAAAACAAAAAAGAAATTATTTGAAAAATATGGTATTTTTGTTTTTAAAAACTTCGTACATCTCACACATGGGTCTTTGATCTTAAATTACCCTAAGCCTGTAATGTGGTAACCTCACTTCTGAGATATATATATATATATATATATATATATATATATATTTAGAGAAATTACAGTCAGACACAAAACACATTAGGGTGGGTGGGAATCGAACCCACGACCTCTGGTTTAGCACTCAGGATCACTAACCACTAGTCCAACAGGACAGTCGGCGGATGAGATTTTTTTTTTCAATTAAAAAGAGTATTTCATCATCATGGGGTATTTTACTCAATATGAGAAAAAAAACTAAAAAATAAATTATTGGTATAACTTAGGCAAAAAGCAGCCAGAAAATGTTATTTTTAGTTCATAAAATGACAAATAAATTTTAAATTTCAATTCAAACTTTCAGTTTTTTTAATCTGTTTTTACCACCATGAAATAGTTGGTCCCATATTATTACATTATACACTCGGTAAACAAAAACGTGTCTGTTGAATCCTACAATTTTTCCGATGTTTTCTTGCATTTAAGGTGTTCCTATTCACGATAAGTAGAGTAATAAATAACTTTTAAATTATAAAGAATATTATACAAAAAAACAGCACATTTGTTTACACAGCCGACTGACGTCATGACCTCAAAGCAATATGGCGTCCATTGGGTCTAGCCTTTTCATTTCGCGCGTAATTTGAAAATGTAAAATTAAAATGCATTTTTATGGCACTTATTAAAAGAAAAATAGTGCGTTTTTTAGTGGTTTATTAATAGTACAGCTTATTAGCAATACATTCTATACTTCAGTTACAAGACACTTCAAAAATAGGTGTTAGAATGCTACCCTATCATCATCATCAACAGCCTTTAATAGTCCACTGCTGGATATAACTTTCTCCTTGCTACCCTATTGTCACCATTTATTTCACTAAGCTAGCATTCTTATCGTCTGACGTTATCAAGTGATCATACTTCTGAGGTTTAGTTCAACATGTGCCTTTATTAATTTAAATTCAGTCAGTATCCTACATAAATCACTTGAGCACGTAATGCTCAATATGTTTCTATAAAACCATCTCAACCACGTGATATAACTACTAATTGACGTAACTCCTTCGATAATAGATCCTAACTAGCGGACCCAACTGACGTTGTCCTGAACACATGTCTTAAACTAAAAAAACATGTTGTAATGGACTGAATTGGGACTAAGTTCGTGTGGTGACGGATTTAGAATACAGAGTGTCACCACCCCTATTCATTCCGTGGGTTTCGTAAAAGGCGACTAAGGGAGCAAACTACGCAGGACAACGGCACTGCAGAGAGAAGGAAAATTGGCACAAGCCCTATACCAACCCGTTTGGCCAGCGTGGTGTAGTAGGCCAAAACCTCCTTTCTATGGAGAGGCCTATGTCCAACAGTGGACTAGTAAAGGTTGTTGATGATGATGATGATGATGAACTGAATTGTGAATCAAAACTATTCTCGAATCCACTGGAACGCATTCAAAAAAACTCAAACAGCATATAGTATTTTCTTTGATACATTTAAGTTTTTTTATCACATTTGTTTTCCCTATAAAACTATAACTTTACACAAACACAAAAAACCCAAGTGGGTTTCACGTGGTATTAAGACTAGTAGTGCTAAAAAACATGAACTGCTGTGGAAATACAGAAAAACCCCAAGTGTAGGTAACAAATCAAAACTGATGCAATACACCAAAAGACTAAAAAAATAAAAGCCGTGTGGTGTCGTGGGACACCCGATAGGAACGAAGTTGTGACGATCGAGTAAAACTGATTCGACACGATTTTAATTACAACGCTATCTATGAAAGCGGCTATTACCTACATATTTTTCAGTTGGTTTCTAATTAAAACAATTTATACATTGGTAAAATCTCCTTGAGATAGATGGCGCTGAATGACTGACATAAAAAGTGTCGTTACAACTTTTCCGTCTAGCCCCCTTTCACAACGCGCGATAAGGAACTTCGTTCCAATAGTGTCTTTGGCTCAAAGAGCACAAAACAATTACAATATTATAAATTCAAGTAACAAAACAAACGCTGTATAGCAAACTATAAATGCTGCAAAGCAAAATAGGTCAGTAGAATCTATCCCAAGTAGTAAATTAAATGATAAAATCGTGACAAATCCATATGACATATCAAATGTATTTAATATTTTTTTGTTAATAAGATAACGCCCTTTAATGCTATACATAAAGATCAGCATAAGCAATACCTAACATTTTTTTATGTTAGACGGGGCAAACTAGCAGACGGGTCACCTGATGTAAAGGGACTATCGCCGCCCATGAACGTCTGCAACACAGGAGTCACAAACGCGTTGCCGGCCTTTTAGGAAGGAGTACGCTCTTTTATTGAAGGTTTGAAGTTACGTTCCACAGATTGGTTGTGCGGGGCAAAAAGTGTCTCGAGTCAGTAGTGGAGCGCCAACTATCCAGGTGATGAGGATGAAAATTTTGCCGTGTGGGACGATGGCAGAAAGTTGCGGCTGGTATTAGACCGAAAGATTCCTCGGAGCACTCTCTATGATATATGCGATAGAGAATGCAGAGTGAAGCCACATCTCTACGTAACGCCAGCCGATTGGAGATGTTTGGGCTATCGACGATTCGAGTCGCTCTTCGTTGGATGTGGTCCAGAGTAAAATCTAGACTTAACTCAATCACTATGAAGCCGTGTCTGCTAGGCGATATAAAACCAATCATAAAAGGTCTAAAAACACCAATAGTGTGGGTTATGACGGCATCTTCACTAAGTCATTAAGCTAGTAACGGAATGTATTGTTCCACCTCTTAGTTATATTCTAAACTTGTCTAAAGTAACGGGTGTATACCCTGTTTTTTTTTTTCATGCGGAAATCTCCTCGGATACAACCTATCGGTGGCATGTCGGACTCGAATCGACTAAAACCGCACGCCGTCTCGGGTACTAATAGCCGGGGAACCAGGTATACCCTAGAAAGGAAGTCAACGGGTGTATACCCTGAAATATTAAAAGTTTCAATTATTCCATCATTGCTTCGGCACGAATGGGCCGGCTCGACCGGAGTGATACCACAGCCTCACAGAAAACCGGTGTTAAGCAATTCTTTCGTTGCCTTTCACTGAGTGAGTGCGGTTACCGGAGCCAAAATGCAAATGGGACTCCAAGGGCGGCAACGCACTTGTGACTTTTGAGATGCAGGTGTCCATGGGTGGCGGCAGTTGCTTACCATCAGGTGACCCGTCTGCTGGTTTGCCCTTACACCATAAAAAAAACGAGTAAAGACAACATGAATAATTATAGACCTAGTATCAGTCTTCTCAAAAATATTGAAGCATATATACGAGTATATATATACAATGAATTAGTTAAATATTTTGCAAGCCATAACATTTTAGCCAAAGAACAAAAAAGGATTTAGACAGAACAAAAGTATCAATTTTGCTATATATGAACTTTTAGAAATTATAACGTCCAACGTCGATAAGCGAATACCAATCTGCGCCATCTTTATGGATATGAAGCAAGCTTTTGATTACGTTGTACATGACATCTTTTTAAATAAGTTTGACAAATATGGCTTGAGAGGCAACATTTAAAAATTAATTGAAGGTTACCCCAAGAACCGCTCTCATCATCATCATCATCATCATCAACAGCCTTTCATAGTCCACTGCCGGACATACGCCTCTTCTTAGAAAGGAGGTTTTGGCCGCTCTCAATATACACAAATTAACGGAGTTAATATTAGAACTAAGATGGATACATACCTATCAAAGGGACGTAAAGTACAATATGGCGTCCCGCAAGGAAGTGTATTGGGTCCATTATTTTTTTAAATATACATTTGTGGAGGAACGGGTGTCATGTCCCTCCAACACAAAGGGAAGATCCTCCGACCAGGCATGATAACCTATCATGCCTGGCGGGCCGCGGCCCCAACGGTTGATGTTGGGAAGTTGTATATATGCTAATCGGCGAGGGAATTCTTTATATCGCGATACTAGTACTACTTTTAGTAGTTACTCCGTAGTTCGGTGTGTCTTCATTAGATGGCGCTGTAGTATGTTTCTGTTTCTTTGTATGTGGGAGTCGCCACACATTAATGGCCTTCCGAATGCTAATTCAAACCCAATGACACAGTTTGCTGACGTCAGCACCGTTGCAATTAAGTGTGCTGATAGAACATCTTATGAGCATGATCTAAACAGTACCCTTAATGCAATCAACAAAAAAAAACCTGTTATAATAAAAAAAAAAACAAGTTTCACTTCTGTTGGCACCCCGGAGTGCTTTTTTTTGTTTATAATGAGGTCATCAGAATTGACTACAGCCACCCTTTGAGTTTCACATCACTTTGAGTCACTCGTCCACAGAAATATAGAAGGGGGGTTTTGGGCTCACTTGGTTCTGTGAGGCCTTGGTAGCGTTTCGTTAAAACCTTACTGTTGGCGGCATTACAACCTGACAAATAAAAAAAATAAAGCAAACGCCATCGCGATTTTTTATGTGTTTTGTTTCATTTAAGGTGTATGAGAAAATGATTTTTCTTTAAACGTTTTTGTTTCGTTAATTTTTTAAATCTGTGAATAGATTTGGGACAACAAATCCAATATGATTTATTAGGATCATAAAAATTATCCAAACAGTTGATTCAGTCAAAAGTTGCTTGTAAGAGTTTGCTTTTTAGCGATAAGGCCGCCATTTGTATTTATACATACGAGTATTACATTAATTTCATCATTCTTGAAAGAAAAGTACGAGTAATTTTTGGTGTACAATAAAGTTTGTTCTAGTCCAACTAAACCGACTCTGTTTTATGCATTAAGATTACATTAAAATGAAAATAATAGACAAAGCATCTATTATTTAATCTGTGGTATAGATAACCGACCTTATTTTTTGTTAAGTCATAGAATCAAAGTTGAAGCCTCTAGGTATATTTATTTTAACAAAACTGGTTTGCAGTATAAAACGAATTAATTTGCATTTAATAACAAGTCAAACGACCATATGAAGTACAATAAACATTTATTTATAAAAAAACAACTTGGATTGGAGCTAAATATATTATCTTGCGTGAGGAGGAGGCATCGTGCTATTAAATAGTTTATGTGGAATACTGGAGCCACGCTAGCGGCATAATGGGCCTGCTCGATCGGAGTGATACTCCGGAGTCACAGAAAACCGGTGTCAAGTAAATATTTCTTTGCTTTACCGATTAACGTTACCGAAACCTGAACCACCCCACAAATTCTCTGTCTAATGGCACAGCTGGTTTGAATTCGACTGTAATATTAGAGATATGGAGTCGAATCCCACTTTCCGATAAATAAATTAATCATCAACATACATTCTTCGTGTGGTGACGGATTAAGAATACGCAGTGTACTCCTGTTCATCCCGTGGGTGTCGTAAGAGCCGACTAAGGGAGCAAACTGCGCAGAACAACAATAAATAATGTCACATATATAATTGCAATATAAAATAATTCATTCCATTTTTATTGTATATATGTAGTATTATGATCATCCAAGTAGGGGCAATACGTTCCTTTTTGGTGAGGCGGTGGTCGCTTACCACGGTGACGTCCTGTGGCCAGGATGTCATCTCGCAGAAGCAGACGACAACGGCTCAGGAGGAAGATCTTTACTGAAACATGATTTGTCGTCATCTAACATGGTAGAAGATGGGAGTTATCTAGCGCCTCCTGCCGCCCTGAATAAGCAGCAGGTAAAAAAGACGAATTTCCGAAGAAAGTGTAACGTTTACATGACATCCAGGAGTTTAATTGAAGTACAAAAACATTTAGCGTTTTAAAAATAATTTTTGTTTATCCTTCAATAACCGGTCACTAAGAACTTAACCGAAACAACGTAATTACAGTAACCTGCCGAATATTGTTACATTGTATCATATTTAAAAAAAATAACAGGCTAATTTCCAAGAGATTCGTATTGACATAAATGGTTTAATTGAATATTCCGTAGTTATTGTACCTACGTCGCTCTGCAGATAATATATATTAATGGCACTTGGCGTATTTCCGGCCAGTGAGAAGTTCGCACCGATCGCGGATACTTCTTAGATTACACTGTTCAACGTACAGAATTCCCGTGAGTATCTATGATAAATTAAATTGTCTATTGGTGACATTTGTGCTAATAATATTTTGTAAAAAAAATCTCTGTTTAACATGTAAGATTTATGTGAGTACGTATAGCTGTGATAATTAAATTGAACTCTAGGGCTTTTAAAATAGGTTATTTTTTTATTGTTGAGCTTTATGTCTCTTAATTAATGTTTGTAAAATTTTCACTATTCAATATATAGGTCTTTTTTGAGTACCTGTGATAAATTAAATTAAACTATACGGTTATAGCAACTTGGTCAATTTTCGGATTAATGAGCTTTGTGTCTCTTAGATAATATTTATAAATTTTCACTATTATATAGGATTCTTGTGAGTACCTTTTCTAAATCAATAGTCAAGTTTTTTTTTCTTGATTTTTGTGTCTTCACAATATTTTTATAAAGTTTTCATAATTCAAATAAAGTTTAGAATAAAACTTAAGATGATATCGTCTAAAGTTTATTGTAAACTTTTTTTTTATATAATTTAAAAATTATATCACATAATATGTTAAGAAAATAAAGATAGACATTGATTTTTTTTTATAGTTAACAACACAAAACAATACAATTTTTTATACCAGAATAGTAAAGTATAATAAACACGATAAAAACCTTTAAGTTCAGTTTTCTCTAACTCTCTTCGTAGGGCGTGCTGCTTCGAAATAATATACTTATGTTATTTTAATTTACAATAATTTATAAATACTTTAAGGACGTTCTAACGTTATAAAAGCTTAATAATTATTAAACACTAAACCACAATATAAAAATAAACATTATATTAAGCGAAGATACCACAGCATCCGTTGCAACAAAAAACAGAATCTCCTTTAAGAATTAGCAGTTATAGTCCAAGCAGGGTACTGTCCGTCTGTCTTAGTCCTAGAAACGAGTAATTTTAGAAGAGTATAAATAAAATCTAATTATAATCTAAAATATCTTAGGGTATTCCCTTATAAGTAAAGTAGTAATTATTTTTTTCTGAAGTATTCTGTGTGGGGTATCGTTGGACAGATCTGTTAAAAAATAGTGAGGGTTGTAATCACTCTCCTACATCACTTCTGCATCACCAGGAGATCTAATCATTATTCCACACAAAATTTTGTTAGACTAATGATCAATATCTTACAAATATCTTAAAATTACACTTGAATCCGATATCTGATTGAAATAAAAACGACTGCACGGATGGCGTAGTAGTTTAAGAGGTGAGGCGAACTACGCTGAGTGTTGTGGGTCCGATCCCCACATGGAACGACACTTTGTGTGATCCACAAATTGTTGTTCTGAGCCTGGGTGTTCTTTGTGTCCGTTTCATGTATGTTTGTAAAGTCCCCCGCGACACAGGATATTTTCCTAATGCGGGAGTTGTCTTTAAAAAAAAAAAGCATATCTATATATTTTAACTAAATCCGTTCATTACTTTTGGAGATATCACATATATACAACCTACCGGAAAAATGATCAAATAATGATATAACTTTTTATTTAATTCATTTACTTTTCTTTCAATCTATAAACACATCAGATTCCTTAGATCAGAGAATAACCTTACAGAAGAGTACATTTGCAATGATTGATGTTTGTCATTAGCTTACTCAAAAATGACCAAATAAATTTGGATAAAACTTTAGACACATCACATCAACAGCCTTTAATAGTCCACTGCTGGACATAGGCCTCTCCTTAGTTAGGAGGTTTAAGGAGGAGACACATTTAGTTTACGATTTATATTAAAACAGAGGATACTATTTACCGATTATGAAGAAGACCCTCGGTGAAACCGTACTCAAACGCTAGTTTCATTGTAAAAATTACGGATATATTCAGAAAGTACCTATTTTTTTTTTATTTGTTTGATCCCGTCACCTCTGATAATTTTTGTGTCGCTATCGTGGCCGTCAAAGTAGTGCGCCACTAGCGAATTAATAAAAAGTGATAAACTTTTTATTTATTTATCCTACGGGCGTGGATTTAGGATCTGATGCAGAAGACAGTGTACCTTTATAGGATTGAGCTTTCTGTCTATGGACCTTAACATCCAGTAGGTTCGTCCACATTTAGCCAACTATATTAGTATCGCTTATATAAGAGTGGACAAGCGTGTCGCCGTAAACCGGGTACTTAGGAATTACATGGGTAAATTGGGAGTTCTATTTGAAAAGGAAACTTCTAGAAGGAATAGGATATTGCTAAAAAAAAAAATCTCTCTATTTTATTTAAATCTTTTTCTACACAAATTTACATTTAATTCTAACCTTAACCTAAAAACGAAGAATTGTTAGTTTTAAAAGTTGTGTACAGTTGTAATTGGACTTCAGGTTCGCTCACTGTTTAATACTAAGACCACTCTTTGTATGTCTCGAACTGTTCTGTTGTCTGTATCTGTACCTATTTAATAAAATAAAATAATACGAATTCATTAAGATGTACAAGCAATAGAGAGAGCTGCTCAGGGTAGGATTTCTGTAACTGCAACTAGCTGTTGCTGGAAATTTCAAGCCTTCTGACCAAATACACCATTCATAACATCAGAGCCATCTTTAGAAGTATGACAAGTCAATCATTGCAGTAATTTTAGTACTCTCCGTCCTCCATAAGCGCAGGCCTGGGGGTGACAGGTGAGGCCATCTGTCACCCTAGCAGAAGCAGGCCGGGGTGGCGGCGAGCGCGTTGCGAAGCGCGCTCGCTTCCAGGGAGCACAGGGAACATGGGGTTCCCACACGGGGTCGTCTACTCGTCTGTAGATGACCCGAGGTATGTCGGGGCACCAGGGACTTCCTTTCTAGAGTATACCTGGTTCCCCGGCTATTAGTACCCGAGACGGCGTGCGGTTTTAGTCGGTTCGAGTCCGACATGCCACCGACAGGTGGTATCCGAGGGGATTTCCGCACGGAAAAAAAAAAGTACAGGATTAACGCACAGTGCAAAAATTTGAGTCTGGTTTCTTTATTGTTCATCTGCCTGCCTAGCACCAACTTGGGAATGTAATCGTTTTAACACTTGACAATGGAATAAGGAAAAAACATTGGAAGAGAGAGGATATATTATACCGCAACTCTCAGATGGAAAACGGGACTCCGATTGTAGAAGAGTTCAAGGTCGGGTATCAGTATATCAGTTCTGTTATTGGAGGCCACTCGGATAGACCTAATGATTGCCGTGATCAATGTCACTCAACTGGCCTTCATTAATATCATTATCAAAACAATATTCCAATGAAAACATTGTGACATAAATTGGTTTCTTATCTTTCGTTATTTACAAAGTTATCTTAATAAAAAAAAGGAATTCTTTAATAATTACCTAAAACCTTTTTTATTAAATATTCGTGCTCGTAATCATCAACAGCCTTTACTAGTCCACTGCTGGGCATAGGCCTCTCTTTAGAAAGGAGGTTTTGGCCTACTATACCACGCTGACCAGATGGGTTGGTATAGGGTTTGTTTCAAATTTACCTTCTCTTTGCAGTGCTGTTGTCCTGAGTAGTTTACTCCCTTAGTCGGCTCGTACGAAACGGGATGAATAGGGGTGGTGACACTGTATTCTTAATCCGCCACCATATTTCACTATTTCTAAAAAATATTTATTGGTAAGTGCGTACAATTTAAAAAGTATCAGATGCCAAATTGTTAAGTTTATAGCCCCAGAAGATTAGGTTCTGCGTGAATTATTTAGTCAGGGTAATTAATTTTATTTGTATAGATTAATATTTTATCTTATATATATTGTCTTTACCTATGAAATTGCCGTTTTGTGTGCAATAAGTGAAAGTACTTATTTTTTCAAACTTTTTTATTTCTGTTATATGAAGTAATCACCCATGCAATCGACGCATCTTTGCCAACGCATTGGCAGTATATTGATGTCCTTCTTGTAAAAATCAGCTGGACGGGAGGCAACAAACTCTTCAAAGGCATTTTGTACTGCCTCTCGGGAATTGAATTTTTTACCCACTAAAAAGTTGTCTAAATATTGGAAAAAGTAATAGTCGGTAGGTGCAAGGTCTTTTTCTAGTTGATATACCAACACGTCTCTGTGACGTCACCTTGACGCTATGGAAGTCACTAGCGTAGGAAATCTTTTAACAAAATTTATTAATGTTGTACCATTATACAAATATATGCAAATAAACCACTAGCAACTAACTATGTAAACAAATCTTGGAATTTAAAATTAACCTAAGTACCTACTTCTATTTGTCGTGTCATATTTTTTTAAGTATTCACGAGTTTAAGTATTTGATTTTTTGAGTATAAGTGAGTTTTGTGAGTTTAAGTATTTGATAAACTGTATTCTTTATTTTCTAATCTTCCACCCGCAGTGGTGTGGAGTGGAGTGCCCTCTCAGATCAGATAAAAAACCGGTCAGGTACGAGTCGAACTCGTGCGCCGAGGGTTTGCCCATATCTTTTTATCATGTTGACTCAGGACCTTGATTTTTATAAACCTAATAGGGACCATAGACTTCAGTATCTGGTATAAATTTCAACTTGCTAGGTCTACCCGTTCCTGAGAAAATCGGTGGTTACACACGGACAGACGGACAAGAACGTGATCTTATAAGGGTTCCTTTTTTACCTTTTGAGGTACGGAACCCTAAAAAAGAATTATCCGACGCGGTTCATGAATTACAAAGCTCTTAGGCGACAACATTAACTATTATTGATTAAATTCATCACATCAACAGCCTTTAGTAGTCCACTGCTGGTCATAAGCCTCTTCTTGGAAAGGAGGTTTCGGCCTACTATACCACGCTGTCCAGACGGGTTGGTATCGAGTATGTGTCAAGTTTTCCTTCTCTTTGCAGTGCTGTTGTCCTGCGTAGCCAGCTCCCTTAGTCTGCTCTTACGACACTCACAGGGTGAATAGGGGTGGTGACATTCCGTATTCTCAATCCGTCACCACACGTCACAATTACTAATCTGCAAGACAACATAATTAAATATTTTCTATGTTGACTTGAGTGTTTAATATATTTT